AATTTCCTCGATTCTCCTTGGCACATCTCTCTCGATACTCGCTTGGCCTAGGCTTCTAAGCCTAGGCCCTTACCTAACCCGGTTCCTAGTTAAGATCGCACCGTAACATGATTAGTCGTGCTGGACGGGGCGTTGTTGAATGCGAACTCCAACATGGCGAGCGAGTCTTCCCAGCGGGCAGGGTCGGGGCAGTTTGTCCTGATCAGCTGCTCCATCGTCTGATTGGTGCGCTCGGTCTGGCCGTCTGTCTGCGGGTGGTATGCTAAAGAGAACTGTAGTTTCGTGCCGTACTGCGCCCACGTTTCCTTCCAGAACTTCGACGTGAACTTCGGATCTCGGTCGATGATGATCGCCGAGGGGATTCCGTGCAGTCGCACGACCGTTGAGATGAAGAGGCGCGCAGTTTCCTCGGCTATGATTGTTGTACGACACGGTGCGAAGTGCGCCATTTTCGTGAGGCGATCGACGACGACGAGAACAGCGTCGTTGCCGGACGGCCCAGCTGGCATCCCCGTGACAAAATCCATTGTCACTTGCTGCCACGGTCGTGCGGGTGGCTCGAGGGGTTGCAGCAGCCCAGCTGGTCGTTGACGTGTCGATTTCATGGCTTGGCACACCCTGCATGAGGACACATATCGCTGCACATTGTTAGAGCAGTCAGGCCAGTAATGTTGACGGTGCAGTAATTTCTGGGTTTTATCAACCCCGAAGTGTCTGGAGAAATTCAAATCGTGGACTTCCTGGATAAGGAGTTCACGCAACAGCCTGTAAGCGGGAACCCAAATCCGGTCGGTTCCGGCTTTTAGGTAATAATCCCCTTTCTGCGTCGTGGCCTGCTGATGATTTCCTGTCGTCAAGAACGGGTCCGTAGTGTAGCCATGGGTGAATATTCCTGTAAGTAGCGGGTTCGAGTGGGTGATGAGTACTGCAGCGGATTGTACGATCGGTCGGGTCAGGGCGTCGGCGATGTTATTTGCCCCCTTCTTGTACGTGATGTGGTAGGTGAAGTGGCTCTCCATGTAGTCCAGCCACCGAATTTGTCGCGGGTTGAGGTTGGGCTGGGCTCGCAGATACTGTAGGGATTTGTGGTCAGTGCGAACAGTGCCGTCGGCGCCCACCAAGTAGCAGCGCCACAGTTTGAACGCGTGAATAATGGAGAGCATCTCCTTGTCGTGAATCGGGTAGTTGCGCTCGGCTGCCTGTAGTTTGCATGATTCGTAGGCTATCGGCTACAATCCGTTCCCAAAATCTTGGAGTAGCATAGCTCCGATGGCGAAATCAGAGGCGTCGGTGACGACTTCGAACGGCTTCGATGGGTCGGCGATGCGCAGCACAGAAGGGGAAACGAGAAATTTCTTCAGCTCCTGGAAAGCCGCCTCTGCCTCCTCCCCCCACACAAAATTCCTGTCCTTGTGCAGCAGGTCGGTCAGCGGGCCGGTGATCCCCGCCATATTCGGGATAAACTGCCGGACGTAATTCACGAACCCCTGAAAACTCTGTAATTCCGTGTCATTAGTCGGGGATTTCCACTTCTGTATGGTCTTGATTTTCGCCGGGTCGATATTAATGCCGTCGCGTAAGATGACGTGGCCCAAAAACTCCAACTCCTGCTTAAAAAACTCGCACTTAGAGCCCTTGGTGATGAGTCGGTTCTCCTGCAACCGTGTAAACACTGCGTCAAGGTCGCGGAGATGCTGCTCCCGTGTCTTGCTAAAGATGAGGATATCGTCCAAGTAGACGATGACGCATCTGTCTAGAAGATCCCGAAAAACCCTGTTCATGGTCAACTGAAATGTCGAAAGTGCGTTCGTGAGGCCGAAAGGCATCACCGTGAATTCGTAACTCCCGTAGCGTGTGCGAAACGCAGTCTTGTGACAATCGTCGGCGAAGACTCGAATCTGGTGGTAACCGCCACGTAAGTCAATCTTCGAGAAATAGCGAGCGCCGTGAAGTTGGTTGAGGGGGTCGTCGATGCGTGGAATTGGGTAGCGAGACTTGATGGTGACCCGGTTCAGCGCGCGATAGTCGATACACATGCGAAGCCCGCCGTCTTTTTTCGGAGTGAACAGGATCGGTGATGCGAAGGGAGATGTGCTGGCCCGAATGAAGCCCTTCTCCAACAGTGCGTCAATTTGATTTCGCAGTTCCTCGAGTTCCGGCTGGGTCAACCGCCACTGTGTCCGAACAGTCGGCTGGGCGCCGGGTTCCAGCTGGATTTTGTGGTCCTCAGGTCTCTCGGGTGGCAGTCCAGGTGGCAGATCGTCGGGGAAGATGTCGGGGTACCTTCGAATCAGCTCCGCTAAAGCTGGCGGTACAGCTGCACACAGCTTCTCAATGTCCTTTCCGTCAGTGTCAACTGCCAACTCGCGTAAGCAAACAGCGAACAGCTGCGCGCCCCTGTTGAAGTGGCGATCTATAGTGATAGCTTTGACGCACGGGGCTTGGATGTAGTCAGGTGTCCATGCAGGTAATGTGATGAGCCCCTCGTGCTTGTTGATGCTGCACGATCCCGTTGTCCAGTCGATGACGGGGTTGTGCCGTCGCAGCCTTTCACGTCCCAGCAGCACGTCGCAACCGTCCAGTGTCGTCGCGAGGAACTTCATGCTGAAGCCGAAATCGCCGCCGCATTCGATCCTGACCGTCCGTGTTTCTTTCGTTATCGCTAGACGAGTCCCATCCACGAGCCGAGCATCGATTTCGGGCAGACACCTGTCAAGTTGCAGCTTGCATTTTTTTGTTGTTGCCAAGTTGAAGAGGCTATGGCTGGCCCCTCCATCGACGAACATTTTCAAGTTATTTTTTAACACCTTGCCAGCGACCAGCACAGGGTGATCCACATGGTTATCCCCGTTATTCGGCCGAGTACGATCAATTGCATGAATCGGAACCACGACCCGGTAGGGATGGTGGGGTTCGGGCGACGGAGCATAGTCAGTAAAGGGCCCGCTAATTACTGACTCTTCCCATTTCCCTGCTCCTTCCTGTCGTTCCCCGTCAGCGACGTTTTCTCGTGGCAGTCTTTCATGTAGTGATCCGTCTTCCTACACCGGTAACACGGTCCCCTAGGAGGGCGGTCGGGTGTATGGACGGCGTTGATCGTGGCCCGATGGGTCTGGCCACGAAAGCGGTTTCCATCCCTGGAAGCTGCTCTCGCATACTGCATCAGCGCATCTGTTGACTCCGCCAGCCGTACTGCTTCTAGGAATGATGTCGGGCGGCCCCTGCGAACCTTGTATTGAATTTCGTACTTGAGGCCGCTGATGTATTTATCATGTCATCAACTTGGTCGGCGAGGCCCATAAATGACGCTGTGTAGTCTTGGACAGTTGCCATATGCGACCATGCACGCAGCTTCATGCGTGCTTGCTCCGAGGCGGATACGTGCTCGAAGCGATCTCGTGAGGTTGCGCCCCACTCCTTCCACGTGCGTATCGTGGTCACTACGAAGATTGATTCTGCCACTTGATTAGTCACTGTTTAGGTCCCGTCCGCCGCATGCGTCACACCTATCGGCGTCCTCGTTTCCAAGGTTCGGCGCCACCATTCAAGCGCTGCGCCTCGAAGAAGCGAAACCGCGTAATTAATACGCGTGGCGTCGTCATTAACTCCTGCTGCAGTGAAGAAGACTTCGACACCGAACAGCCACCCCTTTACTGTAACCGTCTTGTCCGTAGGATTAAACGGGGGCGGGTTGAAGGGTTTTATCTTGATCGTCGTTACTGCAACTGGTGCTGCTGCCGCTCGCTGCCGGTCTTCCTCTTCGAAGTCACGTGTGAGCGCGTCCAAGGGATTGCTCACCGCTTGACTGTTGCCCTCGCCTTCTTCATCGGGCGACACCTGACGCGCTTCACCTCGCGTCTGCCGTAGCTCGTCGTTTTCTTCACGCAGTGTTGTCACTTCCGCCATTAATGACTTCATGCCCTCCTGCATCTCTGCCACTTGCGCCATCAGCTTGTTAACTGCCTCCTGATCCATGTGCCTAGCGCTACGTCTGATGGCGAATTGGGTCTCCGTGGCCTTCAGGCAAGTGAAAACACAAACTATCGGAGTCGGGCAGGATTGAATTAACAATCCGTGCAGCCAACCGTCTTGTAGTCACTAAACCAGCCACACCCGTGCCACCAAACTACCCTCGGAAAAGCGAAGTGAACTACGAAAGTAGCTCTGATACCAGGTTGGAATGACGTGTTGCGTGATTCGTAAGGACGTGGGCCCAATCGACTTTGATCGGCTCTGATCGGATCGGGTTGGGTCGGATCGGATTGCTTGTGATCGTTTTCCTCGCGCCGCCCGATCAGAGATGATTTTCCTAGAATGTTTCGCACTCTTGCATAACCTGGTAGTTGCATCCCAACTTTGGCGAGACGCACGAATCTCAGTATCGTGGTAATGTCGCCAACATCGCCCGCACCGCACAAGGTCCGCACGATGGCTATGGCATACAGTTATCGCCGATCTGGGTGTATTTGCAAGGATTTTTGAGACCTCATGGCGAGGCGTGTTACATTTCGCGTACATCGCCCAGGTCGCCGATCACATGCAATCAAGTAATTGGGGCTGATTGTGTCTGATCGGGTCTGATCGGGCTGTTTGAGGCGGTTGATTGAGTTGGCGCGATCAGCTGATCGCGATCAGCTGATTGCCCCCGATTGCCGGAAATCTGCTTCCCGCCTTCCTCGAAGTTTTTGATCGCCTCTGATCGCGCCGATCAAAGTCGATTGGGCCCACGTCCTAAGGTAGCTCCTGCGGTAATACGAGGAAAGGTAGCAGCGTTTGCTCGTGCCTCCCCTCACACGAATATCAGAATGGTTTCGCGCCCTAGGACATGTTGCAAGTGATAATATCGAAACTCAAAACGGCATTGCGCTGGTACGAGCGAGAAGAGTCCAATAGGTTTTCGAGGAACTCTTAGCGAGAACTCTCAGAGCTGTTGAATCCCCGTCGACTCGAATTCTCTTAGCCCTTAAGCGAGTCAAGATCTGGGCCGTTCTCCCGTCGCCATGCCGCGCAAGCCGGTTGCTAACTTCCTGTCGTGGGCGTCGAATGTGCTCGAGGCTGTCGACCAATCAGCGGCGAGCTTGAGCGACGCCACAAATCCTCATCGGAGGTGCGTGCAGCATCGCGTCGTTCGTTCCAACTGTCGCCGTAACCGCGCCTCATGCCAAGGACTAGCATCCCCCAGTCGCCATGCCTCTCAGCCGAGCCTCGCGTCGTGCCTCTGCGCTGCCGCCCATGCGGAGCGCCGCTGAAAGAACACCGTGTCTCCTGCCGCCGTGCCTCCCCGGCCCCCCGCCCCCCCCCCCCCCCCCCCCCCCCCCCCCCCCTTCCCTCCCCCCTCTCCCCTCCCCCCTCCCCCCTCCCCGCAGGAAGCACCGGCGCGAGTGGGGCGCGGCGACGGACGGGCAGGTGTCGGACTCGGCGTGGGTGGACGCGAGCGACGGCGACGGCAGCAGCGCCGGGTACGCCAGCGACCACCTCCTAACGCTGGGGGGGCGCCGCGCCTGGGAAGGCCCGGAGGGGCGACGTGCAGTGGCGGGCGGAGGAGGGCTGGAGTCGGGGGGTGAGCGCGGGGAGGGGCGGGCGGAGAGCAGAGAGGTGCTGGGCGGGGTGGTGGAGGGGGAGGGGGAGGGGGGCGGTTGGGGCACGCATGGCAGTGTGGGGGAGCGTGGTGGGAGCGCTAGTGGGCGGGGGCTTGCGAGCAGCAGCAGCCTGGGTGGTGTGGGGCGTGGAGGTGGGGAACAGCGGGACGCAGAGGAGGGTAGTGCGCGTGCAGGCGGGGGGCATGCGGCAGGCAGTGGCAGCAGCGGTGGTGGCTTGAGGCGTGCAAGGGAGGGTGGCGCTGCTGCTGCGGGCGGCCAGTGGGGTGGCGAGGGAAGCGCATTGAGCGGCACGGGCGAGTGGCATGCACACGAGTTCGAGGCGTGGGGCGGCGAGTGGGAGATGCAAGGAGGGGGGGACGAAGGAGGGGAGGGAGCTGGTGAGGAGGCGAGAGAGGATCGTGGGGGGGTGCAGCGGAAGGGTACAGGAGAAGAATCACAACGCAAGGAAGGTCCAAATGGAGAAACGGGAGAACCTGCAGATGATAGGGATGAGGGGGCTGGTGCAGCAGTGGCAGCAGGGCGAGGTGAAGTTGGGGGAAGCAGCACGAGTGGCAGCAGCGGATCTGCCGGTGTGGCCACGCTCCCAAGCGGCGCGAGCGGCAGCGTTGGCAAAGCCGCTATGAGTGCGAAGAGCAGCAGCACAGCTGCAGAGGAGCCCGGTGATGCAGAGAGTGACAGCGCGGCTGCACCGCTGTCCACAAGTCTCGCCAGCATGGCGGGCGGCAGCAGCAACAACATGGCAGGCAGCAGCAGCAGCAGGCGGGGGCTGTTGGGGGCGCAGGTGCCTCGGGTGCTGGCGGTGGCGCGCAGCCCGTCGGTGGAGATGGACGCCATGCGGGCGTGGCGCCGGCGCATGGAGGCACACGCGTGGACCAGCCCTGCCATGCGCTCCGAGTTTGACCACGCCAGCCGCGAGTGCAGCCAGATGGAGGCGCGGGTGGGTGCCGGCAGATGGAGGCACGGGTACAGCGAGTAGTTGCAAATATTGCTGGAAGCGAAAAGCTTGTTGTCCCTTGCATCATTCTCCTGCCTCTCCCCGTTCCCCTCCTTCACCCACCCCAGGTGTCAGTAGTGGTGGGCGAGATAGAGCGGCTGCAGCAGGCGGCACAGCACATGGCTGACAGGGCGGCCCAGGAGATCGGCAGCCTGCATGCTGAGCTGGCAGCTGCCACATCAGCGCTGGAGCAGGAGAGGTCAAAACATGCTGCTACACGCCACGAGGTGATGCATGGGATGGGCGTGAAGGGATGGGATGGGTGTGATGGAGAGAGGGATGGGTTTGGATAGAGAATATTATGTGAAGGATGGGACTCAAGGAGGAACGGGTGCTGCTTGGCTGGACTAAGTGACTGAGTGGTTTATTCCATGTGTGTGTGAGTGAATCCACGCACATCCCTATGCGTCCCATTTGTGTGTGTGTGGTTTGTGCAGTACCAGCGTCGCTTAATACTGGGACTATTGGGCCTGCTGTGTTATTCGTAAGCACTCCTCGTGCCTCGTTCCGCTTCCGCCTCTCTGCGTCTCTTCCCCGTGAGCGTGTGCTGCTTCCACGACGATGCCGGCGGGGAAGAGACGCAGAAAGGCAGAAGCGGGACGAGGCACGAGGAGTGCTTACGGTCAACACAACAGGGCTACCAGTCCCAGTATTCATGTGCATGTGCGTCCCATTTGTCGACTCCTAGTTACTCATCTGTGCTTGCTCCTGTAGAGATGAGCATTTGCCCCGCTCAGGTCGGGCTGGCCCGACTCGACCCGAGGTTTAGCCCGGGTCGGGGCAGTGGTTTCATTTGCCTGCCCCGTGCGAGCCAACTCGACCCGACCCGAGCAAAAACCCGACCCGAGCATGGAACTCGGGCCGGGTCGGGTCGGGTTTCGGGTATAGCTTGACCCGACCCGAATTCGGGTCGATACAGAGGGCACGAAACCCTAGTTCAATTTGTGATCGAGGGGTTTTTTTATCCCCTCGACATCAGAACCTACCCACGCTCTCAATCTTGCCTAACGGCAGCAAGCAAGTCACCTAAGCTTAGAAACTACTTAGTTAGGGCCCGTTCAAACCTCATTGACAGACATTTATAGCTAGTTTACTATCGTATCCTGCTGTTCACGGAAAGTCGCGATGCAGGAATGGCGTTTTTTTACAACTTCACGTTTTACACCCCTGCTCCCTCTAAAGGGCGGGTGAGACTGGCCCGACCCGACCCGACCCGTTACCGGGTCCAAGCTGACCCGAGTGTGTAGGCCCGGGTCGGGTCAGACCTTTCAGGAACCTGGCCCGAGCCTGGCCCGACCCGACCCCGGGAGCCCGTGTAGCCCAGCCAGGTCGGGTCGGGTCGGGTCGGGTCGGGTCGGGTCATTTGCTCATGTCTCCTGTGCACGGCAAGACCATCCATGTCATTTCTCGTGGGTCTATGGTACTATCACCACTTGTACATACACATGAGTGATAACAATATAAACTCAACCATTGGGCCTTTGTGCCATCAACTCATGTTCCCCGCCGCTTGCCCATCCGTGCTGATCCTTTGCTTTCCATGGTTCGCTCATTCCCTCGCTTGTGGCAGGCGGAGGAGCGGGAGGGGACGCTGAGGGAGGAGCAGGCAGGGCAGGCGAGGGCAGTGGCGCGGATTAAGAGGCAGATGGAGGAGCGCGTGGCGGAGCACACGCGGGTCACTCACTGCATTCAAGTGAGGCGGGAGGCTGTTGCGGGCAGGACATGGAAAGCTTTGGTGGAACCATGAGTGAGATGAGAGGGGGACGAAGGATATGAAGGTGCAGAGCAAGGAAGGGGGGGGAGGGGAGGCAAGCAAGTGTGGGTTTGTGGTTGCGGTGGCTGCAAGCATTGAGAGGCACAGATTGCCTGGTAGCATTGAGAGGCACAGATTGCCTGGTAGCATTGAGAGGCACAGATTGCCTGGTAGCATTGAGAGGCACAGATTGCCTGGTAGCATTGATAAGCACAGGGCGCATGGGCATTGCATGAGCGAAGAAGAATATGTGATTGAAACAAGCTCCAACGGGGTGGTCACGATGATGCGGTATTTTCTTGCGCTCAGCGAGGTATCTCCCCAGCGAGGTATCTCCCCAGCGAGGTATCTCCCCAGCCAGGTATCTCCCCAGCATCTTCTCCTTTGTCAACGCAAGCAGCTGTATCTTACCCGAGATTTCTTGACATATGATCCAGAGTGAACGAGCTACCTACGCGGGGTGTCCACTCAGCATCTTCTCTTAACTTTCATTTTTGTGTTTGCGAGCTGAATCTGTGATCTAGGTTACCGCACGTGGGAGGGGAGTTGTTATCATCGGCACGTGCCACAGCCCTGGCCGGGCGTGGCCTGGCCGGGCGTGGCATGGCAGCAACGGGCTGCTTCTCCAAAGAACCATGGATTGACGGGCTGTAGGACCCGCGCTCGTGTACGGTGTGATCACAGCCACGCCACCTGATTCACATGTGCTTCTCTCCACGAGTCTTCCCTCTTCCATGGGGAGGCGGTATCTTGCGATCCTTCACACTTAGTCCCATCCCCATCTTCACCCGAACGAATGCTGATATGATCAGCGAGTTCAGGTGGGGTAGAGAGGAAAGAAAATCATCAGGTAGGGCCACCAGAGGTGGCTGGATCACAAATGTGGGACGACCAATGGTGTTGGGGCGACCAATGGTGTTGGGGCGACCAATGGTGTTGGGGCGACCAATGGTGTTGGGGCGACCAATGGTGTTGGGACGACCAATGGTGTTGGGGCGACCAATGGTGTTGGGGCGACCAATGGTGTTGGGGCGACCAATGGTGTTGGGGCGACCAATGGTGTTGGGGCGACCAATGGTGTTGGGACGACCAATGGTGTTGGGGCGACCTATGGTGTTGGGGCGACCTATTACGTTGGCAGATACGCCCTGGGCAGGGTTGCGTACCACGTATATACGCTTGCGTATATACGTGGTACGCTAATACGCTCGTATTTCTTGGAAATACGCCCGGGCAGCCCGCCGAAAAAAAAAAAATCGAAATTGAAAAATTTCGCGAAGGTTTTGCGACTTGGCGATTTGTTACCGCGCAGTCGCATATCGCCCTGGGGGGGGAAGGAGAGGATGCAGTTCTGGCGGATGAGTATGGGGCAGGGGTGGTGTTGGAAAAGCCCCGCAAGGAACTCGGCTGTGTGGAGGCTAGCTAGAGGGTGGGGTGGGGATGTATGGGGTGGGGAGAAGTAGCCCCAAAGATGTATCTCTGGATAATTATGAAATTAAAAAACATGTGTTTTTGGGAAACATAACCCGCCCCCCTGAAACAGGTTTTTTTAGCCCTGCCCGGGAAAAAAGTTTTACCTGCCCGCCCGGCGTATTTTTACGTATCACCAGTACGCCACCCCTAGCGTACCGCGTATATACCCAGCGTATAATACGCTAGCGTATTATACGTGATACTCGTATCTGCCAACGTGTTGGGACGACCAATGGTGTTGGGGCGACCAATGGTGTTGGGACGACCAATGGTGTTGGGACGACCAATGGTGTTGGGGCGACCAATGGTGTTGGGGCGACCAATGGTGTTGGGGCGACCAATGGTGTTGGGACGACCAATGGTGTTGGGGCGACCAATGGTGTTGGGGCGACCAATGGTGTTGGGGCGACCAATGATGTTGGGACGACCAATGGTGTTGGGGCGACCAATGGTGTTGGGGCGACCAATGGTGTTGGGGCGACCAATGGTGTTGGGGCGACCAATGGTGTTGGGGCGACCAATGGTGTTGGGGCGACCAATGGTGTTGGGGCGACCAATGGTGTTGGGGCGACCAATGGTGTTGGGACGACCAATGGTGTTGGGGCGACCAATGGTGTTGGGGCGACCAATGGTGTTGGGACGACCAATGGTGTTGGGGCGACCAATGGTGTTGGGACAACCAATGGTGTTGGGGCGACCAATGGTGTTGGGGCGACCAATGGTGTTGGGGCGACCAATGGTGTTGGGGCGACCAATGGTGTTGGGGCGACCAATGGTGTTGGGGCGACCAATGGTGTTGGGGCGACCAATGGTGTTGGGGCGACCAATGGTGTTGGTGTTGGGGCGACCAATGGTGTTGGGGCGACCAATGGTGTTGGGGCGACCAATGGTGTTGGGACGACCAATGGTGTTGGGGCGACCAATGGTGTTGGGGCGACCAATGGTGTTGGGGCGACCAATGGTGTTGGGGCGACCAATGGTGTTGGGGCGACCAATGGTGTTGGGGCGACCAATGGTGTTGGGGCGACCAATGGTGTTGGGGCGACCAATGGTGTTGGGGCGACCAATGGTGTTGGGGCGACCAATGGTGTTGGGACGACCAATGGTGTTGGGGCGACCAATGGTGTTGGGGCGACCAATGGTGTTGGGGCGACCAATGGTGTTGGGGCGACCAATGGTGTTGGGGCGACCAATGGTGTTGGGGCGACCAATGGTGTTGGGGCGACCAATGGTGTTGGGGCGACCAATGGTGTTGGGGCGACCAATGGTGTTGGGACGACCAATGGTGTTGGGGCGACCAATGGTGTTGGGGCGACCAATGGTGTTGGGGCGACCAATGGTGTTGGGGCGACCAATGGTGTTGGGGCGACCAATGGTGTTGGGGCAACCAATGGTGTTGGGGCGACCAATGGTGTTGGGCGACCAATGGTGTTGGGGCGACCAATGGTGTTGGGACGACCAATGGTGTTGGGGCGACCAATGGTGTTGGGGCGACCAATGGTGTTGGGGCGACCAATGGTGTTGGGGCGACCAATGGTGTTGGGGCGACCAATGGTGTTGGGGCGACCAATGGTGTTGGGGCGACCAATGGTGTTGGGACGACCAATGGTGTTGGGGCGACCAATGGTGTTGGGACAACCAATGGTGTTGGGGCGATCAATGGTGTTGGGGCGACCAATGGTGTTGGGGCGACCAATGGTGTTGGGGCGACCAATGGTGTTGGGGCGACCAATGGTGTTGGGGCGACCAATGGTGTTGGGGCGACCAATGGTGTTGGGGCGACCAATGGTGTTGGGGCGACCAATGGTGTTGGGGCGACCAATGGTGTTGGGACGACCAATGGTGTTGGGGCGACCAATGGTGTTGGGACGACCAATGGTGTTGGGACGACCAATGGTGTTGGGGCGACCTATGGTGTTGGGGCGACCAATGGTGTTGGGGCGACCAATGGTGTTGGGGCGTCCAATGGTGTTGGGACGACCAATGGTGTTGGGGCGACCAATGGTGTTGGGACGACCAATGGTGTTGGGGCGACCTATGGTGTTGGGGCGACCTATGGTGTTGGGACGACAAATGGTGTTGGGGCGACCAATGGTGTTGGGGCGACCAATGGTGTTGGGGCGACCAATGGTGTTGGGGCGACCAATGGTGTTGGGGCGACCAATGGTGTTGGGGCGACCAATGGTGTTGGGACGACCAATGGTGTTGGGACGACCAATGGTGTTGGGGCGACCAATGGTGTTGGGGCGACCAATGGTGTTGGGACGACCAATGGTGTTGGGACGACCAATGGTGTTGGGGCGACCAATGGTGTTGGGGCGACCAATGGTGTTGGGACGACCAATGGTGTTGGGACGACCAATGGTGTTGGGACGACCAATGGTGTTGGGGCGACCAATGGTGTTGGGACGACCAATGGTGTTGGGGCGACCAATGGTGTTGGGACAACCAATGGTGTTGGGGCGACCAATGGTGTTGGGGCGACCAATGGTGTTGGGGCGACCAATGGTGTTGGGGCGACCAATGGTGTTGGGGCGACCAATGGTGTTGGGGCGACCAATGGTGTTGGGGCGACCAATGGTGTTGGGGCGACCAATGGTGTTGGGGCGACCAATGGTGTTGGGGCGACCAATGGTGTTGGGACGACCAATGGTGTTGGGGCGACCAATGGTGTTGGGGCGACCAATGGTGTTGGGGCGACCAATGGTGTTGGGGCGACCAATGGTGTTGGGGCGACCAATGGTGTTGGGACAACCAATGGTGTTGGGGCGACCAATGGTGTTGGGGCGACCAATGGTGTTGGGGCGACCAATGGTGTTGGGACGACCAATGGTGTTGGGGCGACCAATGGTGTTGGGGCGACCAATGGTGTTGGGGCGACCAATGGTGTTGGGGCGACCAATGGTGTTGGGGCGACCAATGGTGTTGGGGCGACCAATGGTGTTGGGGCGACCAATGGTGTTGGGACGACCAATGGTGTTGGGGCGACCAATGGTGTTGGGACAACCAATGGTGTTGGGGCGACCAATGGTGTTGGGGCGACCAATGGTGTTGGGGCGACCAATGGTGTTGGGGCGACCAATGGTGTTGGGGCGACCAATGGTGTTGGGGCGACCAATGGTGTTGGGGCGACCAATGGTGTTGGGGCGACCAATGGTGTTGGGGCGACCAATGGTGTTGGGGCGACCAATGGTGTTGGGACGACCAATGGTGTTGGGGCGACCAATGGTGTTGGGGCGACCAATGGTGTTGGGGCGACCAATGGTGTTGGGGCGACCAATGGTGTTGGGGCGACCAATGGTGTTGGGACAACCAATGGTGTTGGGGCGACCAATGGTGTTGGGGCGACCAATGGTGTTGGGGCGACCAATGGTGTTGGGACGACCAATGGTGTTGGGGCGACCAATGGTGTTGGGGCGACCAATGGTGTTGGGGCGACCAATGGTGTTGGGGCGACCAATGGTGTTGGGGCGACCAATGGTGTTGGGGCGACCAATGGTGTTGGGGCGACCAATGGTGTTGGGACGACCAATGGTGTTGGGGCGACCAATGGTGTTGGGACAACCAATGGTGTTGGGGCGATCAATGGTGTTGGGGCGACCAATGGTGTTGGGGCGACCAATGGTGTTGGGGCGACCAATGGTGTTGGGGCGACCAATGGTGTTGGGGCGACCAATGGTGTTGGGGCGACCAATGGTGTTGGGGCGACCAATGGTGTTGGGGCGACCAATGGTGTTGGGGCGACCAATGGTGTTGGGGACGACCAATGGTGTTGGGACGACCAATGGTGTTGGGGCGACCAATGGTGTTGGGGCGACCAATGGTGTTGGGACGACCAATGGTGTTGGGGCGACCTATGGTGTTGGGGCGACCAATGGTGTTGGGGCGACCAATGGTGTTGGGGCGACCAATGGTGTTGGGACGACCAATGGTGTTGGGGCGACCAATGGTGTTGGGACGACCAATGGTGTTGGGGCGACCTATGGTGTTGGGGCGACCTATGGTGTTGGGACGACAAATGGTGTTGGGGCGACCAATGGTGTTGGGGCGACCAATGGTGTTGGGGCGACCAATGGTGTTGGGGCGACCAATGGTGTTGGGGCGACCAATGGTGTTGGGGCGACCAATGGTGTTGGGACGACCAATGGTGTTGGGACGACCAATGGTGTTGGGGCGACCAATGGTGTTGGGGCGACCAATGGTGTTGGGACGACCAATGGTGTTGGGACGACCAATGGTGTTGGGGCGACCAATGGTGTTGGGGCGACCAATGGTGTTGGGACGACCAATGGTGTTGGGACGACCAATGGTGTTGGGGCGACCAATGGTGTTGGGACGACCAATGGTGTTGGGACGACCAATGGTGTTGGGTTGACCCGCCCTCTACTGCTGGCTGGGTTGGGTTGGATTGACCAACCACAATCGTTTGTGCTTGGGGACTCGATTGCGTAGGATCGGCTGCCCAGCAATTCGTACAAGCACACAACACAAAGGTAGCTATCTGCACGTAATCTAACACCAGCCGCATCCCCATCCCCATCCGCCCCCCATATCCCCATCCCATCCCATGCAGGACCTTGAGGCGCGGCACAGCCTGCTCACTGCACGCCTGGCTGCCCTGCACGCCGCCTCGCCCGCTCGCGACAGCAGCACCGCTGCCGCCGCTGCAGTGCCCGGCCCAGCCTCCGCCACCAGTGCTGCGCCGCTGCATGATAACTCGGGTGGTGCTGACGCAGGTGGTGAGGCGCAGCAGCAGCAGCAGCAGCAGCAGCAGGGACATGGTGGGAGCGAGGGGGGAGGGCAGGATGGATCAAGGCGTATGCAGGGAGGTGCAGCAGAGGGGGATGACGCGAGGCAGGGGGGAAGTGAGCAGGATGGGAGAGGGGCTTGTGCAGATGAGCAGCACGAGCTGGTGAGTGCACATGCAGATGAGCAGCACGAGCTGGTGAGTGCACATGCAGATGAGCAGCACGAGCTGGTGAGTGCACATGCAGATGAGCAGCACGAGCTGGTGAGTGCACATGCAGATGAGCAGCACGAGCTGGTGAGTGCACATGCAGATGAGCAGCACGAGCTGGTGAGTGCACATGCAGATGAGCAGCACGAGCTGGTGAGTGCACATGCAGATGAGCAGCACGAGCTGGTGAGTGCACATGCAGATGAGCAGCACGAGCTGGTGAGTGCACATGCAGATGAGCAGCACGAGCTGGTGAGTGCACATGCAGATGAGCAGCACGAGCTGGTGAGTGCACATGCAGATGAGCAGCACGAGCTGGTGAGTGCACATGCAGATGAGCAGCACGAGCTGGTGAGTGCACATGCAGATGAGCAGCACGAGCTGGTGAGTGCACGTGCAGATGAGCAGCACGAGCTGGTGAGTGCACATGCAGATGAGCAGCACGAGCTGGTGAGTGCACATGCAGATGAGCAGCACGAGCTGGTGAGTGCACATGCAGATGAGCAGCACGAGCTGGTGAGTGCACATGCAGATGAGCAGCACGAGCTGGTGAGTGCACATGCAGATGAGCAGCACGAGCTGGTGAGTGCACATGCAGATGAGCAGCACGAGCTGGTGAGTGCACATGCCCCTCTGTGCCCGTCCCTGCATCTTCTCCCTTCCTCCTTCACCTGCCTTCGTGTTTGTTACTCTGCCCCCCCTCACGTCTATGCACATGCCCCGGATTCTTTCCTCGCTTGTTTCTCAGAGCCCTCTCATGCTGCCCGTGCTTCGCCTCACCATCCGTGCCTCTCAGCCCCTCACCACCCGCCACTACCTCCTCACTCCGCCCATGCCATTGCCACCCTTGCTGACATTGTGTGCCACGTCAGCAGGCCACGTTGGATGGCGAGGTGGCATCTCTGAAGCACCAACTGCTCGCCCAACAGGCAGCACTGGCCAAGCAGCCGACCGCAGGTGGGCACAGAGGTCCCTTGGGCCTGCACAATTGCCGCCCGCCTACTGTACATTAAGTGCGGATGGCCATTCCTCCTGTCCCTCCATTGCCTTCATTTCTCTGCCATTGTCTGGCCGGCCTCTCATCCTGCCATTGCCATTCCTCTGGGCCCGCCACTGGGCATGGCGGCATGCGTGGCAGGGGAGCGCGAGAAGCAACTGGAGCGCCGCCTGAGGGCGCTGTCAGAGAATGTGCAGGGCAAGCAGGTGAGTGCAGGGCAAGCAGGTGAGTGCAGGGCAAGCAGGTGAGTGCAGGGCAAGCAGGTGAGTGCAGGGCAAGCAGGTGAGTGCAGGGCAAGCAGGTGAGTGCAGGGCAAGCAGGTGAGTGCAGGGCAAGCAGGTGAGTGCAGGGCAAGCAGGTGAGTGCAGGGCAAGCAGGTGAGTGCAGGGCAAGCAGGTGAGTGCAGGGCAAGCAGGTGAGTGCAGGGCAAGCAGGTGAGTGCAGGGCAAGCAGGTGAGTGCAGGGCAAGCAGGTGAGTGCAGGGCAAGCAGGTGAGTGCAGGGCAAGCAGGTGAGTGCAGGGCAAGCAGGTGAGTGCAGGGCAAGCAGGTGAGTGCAGGGCAAGCAGGTGAGTGCAGGGCAAGCAGGTGAGTGCAGGGCAAGCAGGTGAGTGCAGGGCAAGCAGGTGAGTGCAGGGCAAGCAGGTGAGTGCAGGGCAAGCAGGTGAGTGCAGGGCAAGCAGGTGAGTGCAGGGCAAGCAGGTGAGTGCAGAGGCAAGCAGGTGAGTGCAGGGCAAGCAGGTGAGTGCAGGGCAAGCAGGTGAGTGCAGGGCAAGCAGGTGAGTGCAGGGCAAGCAGGTGAGTGCAGGGCAAGCAGGTGAGTGCAGAGCAAGCAGGTGAGTGCAGGGCAAGCAGGTGAGTGCAGGGCAAGCAGGTGAGTGCAGGGCAAGCAGGTGAGTGCAGGGCAAGCAGGTGAGTGCAGGGCAAGCAGGTGAGTGCAGGGCAAGCAGGTGAGTGCAGAGCAAGCAGGTGAGTGCAGGGCAAGCAGGTGAGTGCAGAGCAAGCAGGTGAGTGCAGGGCAAGCAGGTGAGTGCAGGGCAAGCAGGTGAGTGCAGGGCAAGCAGGTGAGTGCAGGGTGGGTGGGAGAGGACTTGAATCGGGCGGAGAGGAGTGGAGGCGTGATGGTGAAGCAACATGTAGCGAGCATTTCTGGGTGACATGTTCCCGAGTGGGCTCCTCTTTCCCACGGGGCATGTTGAGGCATAACCAGACTGTCACCTCACTTCCAAGCTCTGTCTCCGTTCAATCCGACTACAAGGCTCTCACCCCTCTGTTGTAGTTCCCCCTCACCCCCTCTCACCTTCCTTCCCCCTTTCCTCCCTCTTCCCCCCTTCACCACCCTCTTCAATTCCTTCCCTCCCTCCCCACCCGGCAGGCACAGGCGGAGGCGCTGAGCAGCGAGGTGGCGTGGCTGCAGCAGCAGCTGGACCACACGCGGGGGGAGCGCGCGCACCTGCTGCTGGCTGTGGGGGAGCAGGGCGGCGGCACTGGGGGCCGTTTAGGGAGGGTGGGGGGGTCGCGGGACGAGGTTGGGAGCAGGGAGAGAGGGCGGTGGCGGGGTGAGGGCAGCAGAGGGTGGGGTGGGGGCAGAGGGGTTGAGCACCGTATGGTGGCAGCGCTGAGCTGGTTCTGGGGGGCCTGTGCTGGCGCTTCAGTGTGAGTGCCTTGCGCTTCAGTGTGAGTGCCTTGCGCTTCAGTGTGAGTGCCTTGCGCTTCCAACCACCACTGTGCTGTGCACCTCACATGCATTGCCACCTGCCTCCGCTCTTTCGCTGCCAACCATTTCTCATCCTTTATCCTTCCTGCTGCCCCCACGCATGCAATCCCGCATGCAATCCCACTGACCGCATGCGTGGGTTCATTCAGCACCACATGTGCTGTTCTGCTGCGCGCCTCACCTTCATTGCCTTCCTCACCCTCCCTGCCCACCTGCAGGGAGCGAGGCAGCACGGAGGACGATCCGAGTGGCAAGAGCAAGCGGAGGGCGCTGCGCGTGCGCGTGTGGGAGCACGTGGTGGACGCGGCACGAGCGCTGGACGCCATGAGTCTGCGCGTTGGCAGTGCGCTGCAGCGCAACTCCTTTGTGCGCTCGCTCGTGGTGGCATATGTGCTTGCGCTGCACCTCTCTGTCTTCCTCGTTCTCTCCTTTGTCAGCCTCGAACATGCTCTGCACAAAATATAGCCCCTTCTAGTCTCGATCTCTCTAGAACGTATAGCACCACCATGCACTGGCCGTACTTGATTGTGATAACCGTACCAGTTCCACACCACGGAGTGGAACTCGCGCTGTCCTTGATTCTCTCGTCTGGGGAGCAGCACGAGTTCCACTTGCTTTGTTTGTCAGGATAGTGTCAAGTCAATGTACTGTATCAACTCAAATGAAAGCGTTTGGGCTGTCATTCCCCGGATAGTGTCAAGTGCAATCATTTCAATGGTGGTGAAGACTTCGTTTACCGTACCTCAGCATTTCAAAAAACCAAATTATTTCATAATCATTCCAATGTCCCTACTCTAGTCTTTCCATGATCCTCCTGGTCCCATCGCTCCCATCCCATCGGTACAGAGGGCAGTGTACCACCGGTCCACTGGCCCCATTGCAGAGGCCAAGGAGCCCCCCGCCCCACCATGGATCGCACACTGCGGCTCACTCACAGCCACCTTGGCACTTCACTCCACAATACAAACCCTCGCTGCCATGTTGCATAGAGAACAGCCTCGTCTTTCATGTGCCAAGCCTGTGAAGCGGAAAACAAAGATGGAGTGGCGTGTGTGGTGAGAGCTGTGTAGCTATGTACGCTCACAATGGGGTGGTGTGCATGGGTTGGTGGGCAGGAAGGCTTGTTGGGCCATGAGATGCAAGTCCATCCTCATCACTTTCTCATCCCCGCCACACCCACCATCATTGACATGGCAATCACCCCATGCACACAGTACACACGCTCTGCAGCAGTGGCCCACGCCAATGCCACCACCCCTGCCATGGCACTTCACAGCTGCATGCCCACTCGAATCAAGGGCCCCAAACATGAGAGGCAGTGGGTGGGGTGCTGTTGCATGCATGGCATGAGGTGCAATGAGAAGAAGGCATTGGAGTTGGTTGAGCGCGCATCACGAATGTGAGGTCCGTCCTGAAACACTTGTGATAACCCATGTCATGCCATCACGCAGCAGCACCCACTCACATGCTCACCCACTCACATGGTCAGCCACTCACATGGTCACCCACTCACATGCTCACCCACTCACATGGTCAGCCACTCACATGGTCAGCCACTCACACGGTCACCCACTCACATGGTTAGCCACAGCAACACCATCCTTTGCTGCATGTCTCACATCTTCGCCTCTATCACTCCCCCTCTTGCGTCCTCTCAGCACACCTGCCCCCCTCCTGCCTCTACTCCTTGCCACAACCAGCAGCACCAGCAGCACACCGCCCAGCTGCTACTGCTGCTGCTGCTGTTGCGGCGGCTGCTGTGAGAGGGCATGCGGTTCAGCGGCTGCCAGGCCAGTGCTCGCCTCATGTGCTCCACCACCGCCACCGCCAGCACCAGCAGCGTTAGCAGTAGCAGCAGCACCATGCGCCATTCCCCTCCCTTGCCCTCTCCCGCGCCCCCTCCCTCTGCTCCTGCCCCTGCCGCGCATGCCAATCACCATGTGCCCCACGCCTGACCCGCGCCCCCCCTGCCCGCCAAACCCCCCTTTCAGCGCCCCCCTGCGCCGCACGCCCAGCGCTGCCACGTGCTGCGCCCTGTGCCCGCCCCTGCCGCGCCCGCCCCTGCCTGCCACCGCCCCCCCTGCCGCCCTGGCCGCCTGCTTCACGCCCCGCAGCGTGCCCCTCAGTGACGCCCCCCCTGCTGCCCGCGCTGCCGCTGATGGCGACCCGCCAGGCGAGGCAGGACTGGTGGCAGGTGCGAGGACGGACGAGTAGCGGCAGCGGGCGGTGGGAAGTGGGAGTGATGGGTAAAGAAGGGTGAAGACGAATTGAAGATGAGCACATAGAAGGCGGCAGAGTGATGAGAGGGAGACGTGTGAGTTGTGAGTGGAGGGAGCATGGCATGGCAGTGCAGCAAGCATGGCGAAAAGCACAAGCTCCGTAGGGAAAGTGAGGGAAATCGGGGGGAGGTGTGAGAAGGATGGAAAGGGAAGGGAAGGGAAGGGAAGGGAAGGGAAGGGAGGGGAAGCACCTGGGCGGTGAGTGTTGGGGGTCGGATCGGTTGACAAAGAAGCCAGGTCGCTTTGCCTTGCAGTTGGACGAGAAATACTCCTTCTGCCGCCCATGCCATGCCATGCCATCATGCCGTGCCCAATGGTGAGATGATGTCCCATGCATGCCATTCCACCCATGCATGCCATTCCACCCATGCATGCCATTCCACCATGCATGCCATTCCACCCATGCAGCAGCAACCAATGTGGCAATGTGAGTTGCGCGATGAGAAGCGAAGCATAGTCACTGGAAAATAGATGAAGCATAGTCACTGGAAAATAGATGAAGCATAGTCACTGGAAAATAGATGAAGCATAGTCACTGGAAAATAGATGAAGCATAGTCACTGGAAAATAGATGAAGCATAGTCACTGGAAAATCGATAAAGCATAGTCACTGGAAAATAGATGAAGCATAGTCACTGGAAAATAGATGAAGCATAGTCACTGGAAAATAGATGAAGCATAGTCACTGGAAAATAGATGAAGCATAGTCACTGGAAAATAGATGAAGCATAGTCACTGGAAAATAGATGAAGCATAGTCACTGGAAAATAGATGAAGCATAGTCACTGGAAAATAGATGAAGCATAGTCACTGGAAAATAGATGAAGCATAGTCACTGGAAAATAGATGAAGCATAGTCACTGGAAAATAGATGAAGCATAGTCACTGGAAAATAGATGAAGCATAGTCACTGGAAAATAGATGAAGCAAAGCATGGAACGACGAAAGCAAGGCACAGCATAGCTGACGGCAGCACTCTCCCACTGCGACACCACACGGGCAGCACAGCAAGGAGGTGGGGGGGCGTGCGCATGCATGGGGGTGGGGGGGCATGGGCATGGGCATGGGCATGGGCATGGGCATGGGCGTGGGCATGGGCATGGGCATGGGCATGGGCATGGGCATGGGCATGGGCATGGGCATGGGCATGGGCATGGGCATGGGCATGGGCATGGGCAGCGTACGAGGTCAGAGTCGTCAATGAAGGGGTCGGCCGTGTCGTACTCCTCCTCCCACTCACCACCCTCCTCCCACCCCTCCCACCCCTCCTCGCCCGCTCCCCCCTCCCCCTCGCCGCCCCGTGCTGGTCCCTCGTCGCCGCGCTGCCCCGCCCTTCCCCCGTCCGCCCCCTCCGCGGCGGAGCGCCCATCATCCATGCCGCCGTCATCGTCGTCGCTGTCAGAGCCCTGCGCGCACGCAGCAGCGGAGAGGAGAGCGCCACATGACATGAGTCGCGCATGTGCGAGCAAACAACGATGAGCAATCAGGGTTCGTCTAGGTTTGCAGACGCACCATGCGCGGAACAACACCCTTAACGGCGCACTCTTCGCCACATGGCGAGAACAAGACAAGCCACGAAGCAACAATTTGACGTACGGCGTAGAGGCGCGAGATCTTGTCGATGACGGCGCTGAATCGGTTCCTCGCTTCCGGCAGCGGATCAACCAGCAGCGCCGCCGCCTTGGACTCCCTGCCGCGCGCCGCCTGCTTGCCGAGGCGGGGAAAGGGGGGAATAAGGGAAACTGGTTTTATTAAAAACGCAGCGATTTAGACAAGGCACACATCATGGGAGGAATCGATGGGCGCCCGGCGGCTTCGCGAAGTGCTTGTCGCGAAACGAGAACAGTAACCAGACGTATCGCGCAGCAGCGGTCGACATGGTCGAGCAGTAAGACGCACCAGCAACCCCGCACTTCCCGGCTGCGCATCGCCTCCCGCTCGCTCCTTCTCGCTGCTGCCCGTCGCCGCTGCGCCATCCGCCTCCGCCTCGCCGCGAACTTCACCGCTTCCCGCGCCTTCCGCCGACTGGAGCGGCCCCGAAGGAAGCGGCGGAAGAGGCGCGGAAGGCTGTGCGGGAGAAGCTTGTCGAAGGAGGTGCGCGTAGTTGATGTGCGTTGTGGCGAAGGGATCGAGTCGCACGACGAGCCGCACGGACTCGCGACGCCCCGCCATGGCGGCAGCCCGACGGGTTTATGCAACGCCTGTTAGTAGCGTCTGGTGGGACGATGAACGGCCGAGGAGAGAAACGGAGAAAGGCGAGAACAGATTGGAGGAGCGCGGGTGCGGGTTGAGATCCGCGTTAATGCAATGCCCTGCCTTGCACTCGGCTGGGATGCAAGCTGCGAAAATGGGGGGGGTTTGGTTGGTGGTTACAATGTAGGTTGAGCGCGATGAAATGAGGACCCCGCCTGAGGTGTACGAGGAGGTGATTTTATTCGCAAGCGCTCTCGCTAATATTCGGAGGAGGAGCATTGCTCCAACCCTTTTCACACGATAGTTTCGAACTATCGAAAGTCGAGTTGAGCTTTAGAAACGCGTCCCGAGAGCGTGGTTACAGCAGCACCATCACGACCGCAGATCGGGTGCGTGCGGCGGGCAGGGCCGACGTGCAGTCGGGAGAGGCGGCGATACGCCACGTGGCGATCAACGCCTTCCACCAGATACTCTAGTACTAACCCGCATCGGGCTCATCCGCAACAAAGTAAACACCGGCTGCCGTCGGCGCGCTGCCAGTGCCGCGACTCGCAAGGTGCGTGCGACCCCACCACGCACCCCTGTCAGCCTCGCGTCGCCTCGCCTCGGCTTCCTGTCACGTCGCCGTCCAGACCCCGCTACGCCCCTCTCGCCCCCCACCCCCCGCTTCGGTGCCTTTTCCGCTGCCCACCTCCCCGTTTTGTCTGCCCCCGCGCCGTCCACCCCGTGCACCTCACCCCACACGCGCACTCACCATGTGTCGCCTCCCTCCGTCGCACCTCGTCGCCCCTGGCGCCCCACCATGAGCCATGCCATGCCGCCTCGCGCCCTGGTGGAAACGGGGGTGGGGAGGCCGCCACGGATGCATGGGAGGGGGGATTGTGCCGAGTCAAGGAAAGGGGGGAGGGGGGTGGGAGCACAATGAGAGAGGAAGTCGATAGGGACAGGGCAGTGGGGGTAAGGGCGTATTCCTGAGTTCGTGTCATCCGTGCTTTGTGTCATCCGAAATTGTGGGATCCAATCGAAAAATCCAAAGCTCGAAACGCGGGTTTTCCGATTGGCTCCCACAATTTCGGATGACACAAACACGGGATGACATGAAGCTAGGAATACGCCCTAAGAGAAAGGAGAGAGAGGGGGAAGGCGGCTGATGTGCGTGGCGTGCTGCCCCTCTGCCACAGCGTCCGCCTGTAACCATGCAGCACTCACCGCCTCCACGGCGCGCCTACCCCCTCCATTAGCGCCCCGCTCACCGCCGCCTCCTTCCACCCACACCAACTTGCTTGCTTCTCGAATCATCCCATCCCATCCCATCCCATCCCATCCCATCCACAGCGCCAAGCTTCTCTCTGCCGTGCTGCCCCCGCGTGCGTGCCGCAAGTTGCCCTGCTGCACGGCTCCACTGCGCCCTGCCGTGCCGCCCCGCCACAACGTGTGCGCTCAACTTCCCACCACTGCTGCTCAAGCGAGCCTCGCATCAGAGGATCAGCAGCAGCAGCACTACCACTCGGCGGTGGGGCGGGGGGCAGCATGCTGTACGTGGTGGGCGTGGGGCTGTGGGACGAGAGTGACATCACCGTCAGGGGCCTGGCGGCCGTGCGGCGCTGCCAACACGTCTTCCTCGAAGCCTACACCTCCATGCTGCTCGTTGACAGGAGCAAACTGGTGCGCACTGCTGCTGGGGCTGCTGGGAAGGGAGAGTAATTGCTTGATTGCTCCACTGCCGCATTGACTGTCCATCACCTTGAATGAACGCTGTGGAGGAGCTTGCTGCGATGCTGCGATGCTGCGATGCTGCGATGCTGCGATGCTGCGATGCTGTCATGCTGTCATGCTGTGATGCTGTGATGCTGTGATGCTGCGATGCTGTGATGCTGCTATGCTGTGATGCTGTGATGCTGTCATGCTGTCATGCTGTGATGCTGTGATGCTGTCATGCTGCGATGCTGTCATGCTGTCATGCTGTCATGCTGTGATGCTGTCATGCTGTCATGCTGTGATGCTGTGATGCTGTCATGCTGTGATGCTGTGATGCTGCGATGCTGTGATGCTGTGATGCTGCGATGCTGCGATGCTGTGATGCTGCGATGCTGTGATGCTGTCATGCTGTCATGCTGTCATGCTGTGATGCTGTGATGCTGTGATGCTGTGATGCTGTCATGCTGTCATGCTGTCATGCTGTCATGCTGTCATGCTGTGATGCTGTGATGCTGTCATGCTGTCATGCTGTGATGCTGTGATGCTGTGATGCTGTGATGCTGTGATGCTGCGATGCTGTGATGCTGTGATGCTGCGATGCTGTGATGCTGTGATGCTGTCATGCTGTCATGCTGTGATGCTGTGATGCTGTCATGCTGCGATGCTGTCATGCTGTCATGCTGTCATGCTGTCATGCTGTGATGCTGTCATGCTGTGATGCTGTGATGCTGTCATGCTGTGATGCTGTGATGCTGTGATGCTGCGATGCTGTGATGCTGTGATGCTGCGATGCTGTGATGCTGTGATGCTGTCATGCTGTCATGCTGTGATGCTGTGATGCTGTCATGCTGCGATGCTGTCATGCTGTCATGCTGTCATGCTGTCATGCTGTGATGCTGTCATGCTGTGATGCTGTGATGCTGCGATGCTGTGATGCTGTGATGCTGTCATGCTGTCATGCTGTCATGCTGTCATGCTGTCATGCTGTGATGCTGTCATGCGGTCATGCTGTCATGCTGTGATGCTGTCATGCTGTGATGCTGTGATGCTGTGACGCTGCGATGCTGCGATGCTGCGATGCTGCGATGCTGCGATGCTGCGATGCTGCGATGCTGTCATGCTGTCATGCTGTCATGCTGTGATGCTGTGATGCTGCGATGCTGTGATGCTGCGATGCTGTGATGCTGTGATGCTGTCATGCTGTCATGCTGTGATGCTGTGATGCTGTCATGCTGCGATGCTGTCATGCTGTCATGCTGTCATGCTGTCATGCTGTGATGCTGTGATGCTGTCATGCTGTCATGCTGTGATGCTGTCATGCTGTCATGCTGTGATGCTGTGATGCTGCGATGCTGTGATGCTGTGATGCTGCGATGCTGCGATGCTGTGATGCTGCGATGCTGTCATGCTGTCATGCTGTCATGCTGTCATGCTGTGATGCTGTGATGCTGTCATGCTGCGATGCTGTCATGCTGTCATGCTGTCATGCTGTGATGCTGTGATGCTGTGATGCTGTGATGCTGTCATGCTGCGATGCTGTCATGCTGTCATGCTGTCATGCTGCGATGCTGTCATGCTGTCATGCTGTCATGCTGTCATGCTGTGATGCTGTCATGCTGTGATGCTGTGATGCTGTCATGCTGTGATGCTGTGATGCTGTGATGCTGCAATGCTGTGATGCTGTGATGCTGCGATGCTGTGATGCTGTGATGCTGTGATGCTGTCATGCTGTGATGCTGTGATGCTGTCATGCTGCGATGCTGTCATGCTGTCATGCTGTCATGCTGTCATGCTGTCATGCTGTGATGCTGTGATGCTGTGATGCTGTGATGCTGTGACGCTGTCATGCTGCGATGCTGTCATGCTGTCATGCTGTCATGCTGTCATGCTGCGATGCTGTCATGCTGTCATGCTGTCATGCTGTCATGCTGTGATGCTGTCATGCTGTGATGCTGTGATGCTGTCATGCTGCGATGCTGTCATGCTGTCATGCTGTCATGCTGTCATGCTGCGATGCTGTCATGCTGTCATGCTGTCATGCTGTCATGCTGTGATGCTGTCATGCTGTGATGCTGTGATGCTGTCATGCTGTGATGCTGTGATGCTGTGATGCTGCGATGCTGTGATGCTGTGATGCTGCGATGCTGTGATGCTGTGATGCTGTCATGCTGTCATGCTGTGATGCTGTGATGCTGTCATGCTGCGATGCTGTCATGCTGTCATGCTGTCATGCTGTCATGCTGTCATGCTGTCATGCTGTCATGCTGTCATGCTGTGATGCTGTGATGCTGTCATGCTGTGATGCTGTGATGCTGCGATGCTGTGATGCTGTGATGCTGCGATGCTGCGATGCTGTGATGCTGCGATGCTGTGATGCTGTCATGCTGTCATGCTGTCATGCTGTGATGCTGTGATGCTGTCATGCTGCGATGCTGTCATGCTGTCATGCTGTCATGCTGTCATGCTTTCATGCTGTCATGCTGTGATGCTGTCATGCTGTCATGCTGTGATGCTGTGATGCTGCGATGCTGTGATGCTGTGATGCTGCGATGCTGCGATGCTGTGATGCTGCGATGCTGTCATGCTGTCATGCTGTCATGCTGTCATGCTGTCATGCTGTGATGCTGTCATGCTGCGATGCTGTCATGCTGTCATGCTGTCATGCTGTCATGCTGTCATGCTGTGATGCTGTGATGCTGTCATGCTGTCATGCTGTGATGCTGTCATGCTGTGATGCTGTGATGCTGCGATGCTGTGATGCTGTGATGCTGCGATGCTGTGATGCTGTCATGCTGTCATGCTGTCATGCTGTG